TGGCTCTGAGCAGTGGCAACGTTCATGGGGTGGGGAGGGGGAAGAGAAGGAGGGAAAGTAAGGGCGGAATGGCTCCTTAGTTACTTCAGATGCTGTAAGAAAGACCCAGAATAGCAGTGACTTATGCTGGAAGAGGTGTTTATTTCTCACCCATGTGAGCATCTGGGTGTATCCAGGGCTGATACTAGAGCCCCTCAGGGTTCTTCGGCCTGCTGCTCTGCCATCCTCAGCGTGTTGCCTTTGATAGTATGGTTGCCACACACACCACATCTGTGTTCCAGCCACTGGGAAAGGGGACGGGAAAGTGGGGGGAAGGCATGCTTCCTCTCTTTAAAGGCATGACCCAGAAGTTGTAGCTATCAGTGTACACGTTACATGGCCGCACTCTGCTGCAAGGAAAGCTGGGGTTTGCAGTCGTTAGCTGACTGGCCGTGTGCCTAACTGTGGAACAAGGGGGGAGCTGGATGTGGTGGCGGTGCCTGTAGTCCCAGCTACTCGGGAGGCTGAGGCAGGAGGATCGCTTGAGCCCAGGAGTTCAAGGCTGCAGTGGGCTCTGATTGCACCACTGAACTATGATGGTACCACTCCAGCCTGGGTGACAGAGTGAGACCCTGTCTCTGAAAAAAAAAAAAAAAAAAAAACCACACCAAAAAAAAAAAAAAAAAAAAAAGGGGAGAAAATTCCTGTAAGCGGACAACAACTAGCAGTTTCTGCCCAGTCACTTTGTGCCTTTCAGTGTGAATTGTGTGGCTGTGAATTGGCCAGCCCTTAAGGTTATAGTCCCTGAAAGCTTCAAGTACTGGTAAAGTTCTGCTAGCATCCACAAAGCTTTTCTTTTATAGGTAGGAACACTGAGGTCAGAGAAAGGAAGTCACCTAGTTAAGACTGCATAGCAAAGTGTCACAGCTGGGACCAGAACCCCAAACTTAGGGATCGTTTTCTAGAATTCCAGGGAGACCTGGCTGAGAGGCAGATAGGCAGTGCCAGGAGGATGGGTTTCTGGAGTTCAGGAAAGGCTACCTTTCCCACTGCGGCTACCTGGGGAGCTGCTCCTGACTTTTCAGGGATCACCTTTGAGTTATCATGCCTCTGAGGTGCCTCCAAGTTGCCCTGACTGTATCTTAAATAGTATACTATGCCCAACTGCAGTGACCTGCCTGCACGTCCCCCTTCCCTGTTAGAATCTGCTCCTTGAGCACAGACGTGTAGCTTAGTCATCTGTCTGCCCCTAGTACCTCCCTACCAGGAACTCTGTAAGTAGTGAAATGAATTACTAAAGACATGAATGCACGTAGATTCAAGGACTCCTTCATTGCAGATAATAGAAACTTAGCTCCAACTGGTTTAAGGAAAAAAATATGGCTGGTTCAAGAATCTGGGCAGTCTAGGCCTGCAGCTTGCTTCAGGCATAGCTGGATCCAGGGACTTGTCTGACATTTTCAGAACTGTCTCGCTAACCCTCCTTGTCCCCTTTGTGGGAAGTGTTGCCCAAGGAGCCCCTGTGGGGATTGGGAGGAAGTGGGGTGATGTGGATGATCATGGTGGGGGCAAGGAGGCCCTCTTGGCATCCTAGGCCCAGGGCATTTTGGCCCCGAGCTCAGGCATGGTCTGGTTTTGTCGTTGTAGCTTTATGAGGGCACATCTTGGGTCATCTCTTGGGAGCCTCCCCGTGGCCCCGCTTCTGCAGGGTTGGATGCACTTGCCGTAACTTAGGCTGAGGACAGCCTGGCCCCTCACTCCTGCTGCTCTGTGAAAGCCCACAGTGCTCTGTGGTTTTGGGATAGAGCAGAAAGGAGGAGGAGGAGGGAGAGGAGGAGGGGGGAGGGGGAAGGGAAGGGGAGGGAGATTGGTTGCGGGCAGGTGACTCACTGGGAGGGGTGCCACAATGCTGACTCCAGGGCAGGTCCCAGCTGGGGATGAAATTCCCTTTTATGGAACACGTGGGTGGGGGGTATGCAGGTGGCATGAGGCCTGCGTGTCTCCACATGGCTCTGTGTCCCCAGGCCACCCTCTCATCCTTTCTGAGCTGCGTCTCTTTCTCCTGTCCTCAGCTCCTCCAGGCCCAGCTGTCAGGGTAGGGGTCTCTGGGTGTTGTGGACTCCTCTGATCTCTTTGCTTCTGGGCTGTCAAGCTCCTTCTCTCCAGAGCAGGTTTCCAGGACCCAGCGTGTAGGAAAGGAATGAAAGGGAGCATGTCCAGGGCCCAGCCCTGGAAGTCCCTCATCTTCCCTCTGGAGGGAAGGGCGGCTAGGCCCTGGGAGTAAGCAGCCTTCCCCCACTCCATTCACAAAGCACCTTTGCCTTACAAGGGTCACCATGGGACCCACAGGAAGATCCTGCCCTTTCTGCGGGGGATGGGCAGGTCCTGATCAAGGGAGGTGCCCTCTGCTCCCTGCACCCCCCCAGAGTGGCAGGAATTAGCCTGATATATGGAAAAGACAATCATACAAAGGGTCTAGAGTGCCAGGCAGAGGAATGGGGTCCGACTTCTATAGTGAATGGGGAGCCGTGGGACATTCTTGAGCAAAGAAGGGACAGGAACAGATTCCTGTCTTAGGTCCTAAGAGAAGGCGCCTTAGAGAATGGGGCTGGCAGGGAAAGAGAGGAGCAGGCAGGGCCAGTGAGGAGGGTCTTGGGTCAGGGTGGGAGGTGGAAGCTTGAGAAGCAGTGCAGAGAGTGAGGGAGGTGGCCCAGGAAGAACCCACAGGCTGTGTCTGCGGGTAAGAGAGGAAGGAAGACGTGGAATCTGGGCATTCGTTCATCCTTAGCCCTGGTGCTTCCTGCGGGAGGGTGGGCAGGTCTTGCCGGCAGCTGCGTGCTGGAGCTTCCTGTGTGCCCCAGGGTGGCCCTCGTAAGGCAGGATGTGGTGCCCGCCAAAGGCGCTTTATGAATGAATTGGGGAGGGGCGGGGCGCGGTGGGGGGGGAGGTGGGAGGAGCTGCTGACTCAGCAGGCGGCCAGGCTTTGAGGCCGGAAGCGTCTGGAAAGGAAGTGGCTGCTCAGGGCTTCCCTACTGTAGACAGCTGGGAGAGAAGGGGGGCTGGCCGGGATACACGTGGTTTGGCTGAGGGACTCCCTGGGCCCAGCTGCTGGGGGTGTGTGTGTAGGAGTGGAGGGTGGCAGGGAGGGGGCAGGTGTGCTTGGCTGGGATTGGAAAGATTGAGGCTGGGTGCCTGGGGTGGCACCCGTTAAGGCTAGCAGCTGTTAATGAGGTTTGCTCCATGGAAGGGCAGAAAGGTGTAGCAGAACTGGACTCTTCTCAGCTGTGCTGACTGGCAAATTCCTTGACATTAACAAAGTCATTTATCTGGGCTTTAATTTTTTAAAGTCCTGCAAAAACATGACCGTGTGGTACAGCCTGTCTCCCAGGGAGTCAGGGGGATGTGAAATCATTTCCATTCTTGTTGATCAGTGTTGGTTGGAATAGATGTGGCTTGATTGGGACATGGCACCAATGTTTAGACAGCAGCTGTGGGACTCAGGGAAGAGGTGTGTGCAGCCTGGAGGGTGGCTGGAATTGTGAACAGGGCTGGACTTAGGGATGCCTGCCCTTTCCATCCCCAGCTCAGGCCTGACCGTCTCTTACTCAGTCCTGACTCCAACCTTGGGGGTCATCCCCAGGCCCGGCCTCTTCCACTTCTGATCTGTCTTGGTCACTCAGTTCAGACTTATTAAGCTAGCACATGTCCTCTCTCTGCATTCCCACATTCATACATCTAGTCGCCTCCTAAAACTCTGTCCTAGAAGCTTTTTTGCAAATACTGCTGACGTCACACAAGCTATACTGTACCCTTCCATGTTCTCTGCCTCGGCGAATGCCTCCCCCATCACTGAGGCTCAAAGCCATGACCACCCTGACTGCTCCCTTTGTGTCTCCCCAAGTCCTCGGATGCTGTCACTCTTACCCAGACATGCTTTGTCTCTTCTGTGTGGCCCCTCATTTATTCCACCAGTCACTTCCTACAGATATGGCTGTAATAGCCTCTTTTTTTTTTTTTTTTTTTTTTTGAGATGGAGTCTTGCTCTGTCACCCAGTCTGGAGTGCAGTGGCACAATCTCGGCTCACTGCAACCTCTGCCTCCCAGGTTCAAGCGATTCTCCTGCCTTCAGCCTCCCAAGTAGCTTGGATTACAGGTGCCTGCCACCACACCCAGCTAATTTTTTGTATTTTTAGTAGAGATGGGGTTTTACCACGTTGTTTGGACTGGTCTGAAACTCCTGGCTTCAAGTGATCCACCCACCTCGGCCTCCCAAAGTGCTGGGATTACAGGCATGAGCCACTGCACCTGGCCTGAAATAGCCTCTTAACTGGCCTCTCCCTTGCCCTGTTACAATCCAGTCTGTGCCCAGGAGCTAGAGTGAGTTTTAAGCATTGTTACCCAGATTATGTGTGATTAAAATGATCCCCAATGATTCCCATTACTCATAGAAAAACCTAAATTCCTCACTGGTCTCTCAAAGCCCTGTGTGACCTGGCTGAAACATGCCCTCCCGTCAGATGGGGTGTGGGGGTGCTGTCAGATTAATCTTCATGAAGCTTAGCTCTGACCATGTATTTCCCTTATTCAGGAAGCTTCAGTGGCCCTCAGCTGTCTTTAGGATACAGTTCGCACCTGTCAGCCCACCTCTAAGTCTGGCCCCCTTGGGAGCCCCTACCAGCTACTGTCTGCCAAATCGATCTGCACACATCTTAGCCCCAGAGCAAGCCAACCTTGCCTTCACTTGCCAACCTGCCTCCTCTTCTTTATATTTGGATACTAACGTCTTAGCTGATAGGGTGGATCCCAGCTGCCCCCTGCCATCTTCCCTGTCAGACCTCCCCAGGGACTCCCTGCCAAGCGTCTGTCACCAACATCCCTCAGCAGGGAGCCCTGAGGGGTATGGGAACGAAGCCTCCCAGTGGGCAATTGCAGCCTTCCTCACTCCGGTCCAGGAGAGATGAGGTGAGAGAGGGCCTGGGGAAACCTTTGGAGACAAAGGCCTCGCATCCTCTTCCTCCCAGGCAGGGGCAGTCTTCCACCACGGGGAGCCCAGCTGTCAGCTGCTTCACGGGAAGATGCTGCGTCAGCGGGGCCGCCCTGGCCTGGATGTGCACGTGGGTGCAGCTCTGGGAGCACTGTGGTTCTGCCTTACAGGTGAGGGGAGCATCGTGGGGGACTGGCGGGGAGGGACAGTGATTGTGGCAGTTGGGGAGGGGGTGGCCATGCCTGTCAGGGTCCTGCCAAGCCAGCTCTGGCCAGCAGGGCCATACCTCACTTCCACCTCTGGGATCCAGTAGGTAACTCACTTGACCATTCTTAGCCTCCATTTCCTTGTCTGTAAAATGGGAACATGAGTGATAAACGTGATCGTGCTATTTCTTGAACACATTGTGTGTCTCCCCCCACCCTCCACCCGCCCCAGGACCTTTGCACACACTTTTTTCTCTGCCTTTGCCTGGAACTTTCTGCCCCTAGACATCTGCATGACTGGGTCCCCTGTTTTGTTGAGGTCTTTGCTCAATGTCACCTTCTCGCAAGGCTCTCCTGGCTACCTTGTATAACATAGCACACCGCCGCTCCTTCCTCCCTATTCCGGGCCTCCCTGGGCTGCTCTTCCTAGATGCACCCCCACCTGACGTTTGCTTGCTTCTTCCCTGTTCAAAGAGTAGGGTCCATCCCAGGGCCAGGGCGGCTGCTGCATGGTAGGTACCCAGTAACTGCGTAGAATAAACGATGTGAATCTCCCCACACAGTGCTTGGCACACAGGAAGCACTCAATAATAATAGCTACTTTAATAACAATATCCTTCTCATATTACAAATTCTTATCAGTATCTGCTCCGAGATGCTGCCACCACGGGGGATGACAAAGCTGAGTGTCTGGCGCCATCTTATGGCCATAAAGGAGTGATGCCTGTCTCTACCCATGGCTGTTCTGATTTCTTTAGAGTGAGAAAAGATTTTATATGGGTGACTTACCAGGTTTCATTCCCCCAAATGCCCCCTACAAGGGGCACCCTGGTCCGACTGATGTGGCCTGGGGCACCAGGGGTTGTAGCAAGAGAGCCAAAGCTAGCTTAAGAACTTTAGAGACCTCTATGTACTGCAAAGACTATGATGCTGTGTATGATTCACAATAAAAATAATAGGCCAGGCACAGTGGCTCACGCCTGTAATCCCAGCACTTTGGGAGGCCAAGGTGGGCGGATCACCTGAGGTCGGGAGTTCGAGACCAGCCTGGCCAACTTGGTGAAACCCCATCTTTACTAAAAATACAAAAATTAACCAGGCGTGGTGGCATGCCCTGTAATCCCAGCTACTCAGGAGGCTGAGGCAGGAGAATCGCTTGAACCTGGGAGGCAGAGGTTGCAGTGAGCTGAGACTGTGCCATTGCACTCCAGCCTGGGCAACAGAGCGAAACTCTGTCTCAATAATAATAATAACAACCATAAAATTGGTGTTATTTTTCTAAATGCAGGAAACCTTTAATGAGTGCTGTATTTAGTTAGCGTTGTTTCAGGGCTGAACTTCACACATTTGAGTGTGCCTGCTTTGCCAGTGCTTGAAGCACACAGTCTAACCATTACCTGAGAATGGTAGTGCCCGGGCGGGGGCTTGCTTCCCCAAAAGAAAGGCTATCAGGACCCCTGCCTAGCTATCCAGGGCTCTAGAAGAAGAACTAGGATGAAGACAGAGGTGACTGTGTGGGGAGGCTGCAGGGTAACTCCACAGAATGGAGGGCAGGATGGGAGCAGGGGACTCTGCCCCAGGGGCTTTTTGCAGGAGGCTCCAGCTCTGGCTCTGGACGTGACCTGTCTCTGTCTCTGGGAGCGGAGTTGACTCTGGACAGCTGGGATGCCTGTTCCTGCTTTCCCCTCCCTCCTCCTCCTCCTCCTCCTCCTCCTCCTCCTCTTCCTCTTCTTCTTCCTCCTCTTCCTCCTCCTTCTCCTCCTCCTCTTCCTCCTCCTCCTCCTCTTCCTCCTACTCCTCCTGCTCCTCCCCTTTCTCCTCCTCCTCCTGCTCCTCCTCTTCCTCCTCCTCCTCCTGCTCCTCCCCTTTCTTCTCCTCCTCCTGCTCCTCCTCCTCTTCCTCTTCTTCCCCCTGCTCCTCCTCCTCCTTCTCCTCCTTCTCCTCCTCCTCCTCCTCTTCCTCCTCCTCCTCCTGCTCCTTCTCCTCCTTCTCTTCCTCCTTCTCCTCCTCTTCCTCTTCCTCCTCCTCCTCTTCCTCTTCCTCCTCTTCCCCTTCCTCCTTCTCCTCCTCTTCCTCCTCCTCCTCGTGCTTCTCCTCCTCTTCCTCCTCCTTTTCCTCCTCCTCCTCTTCCTTCTCCTCCTTCTCCTCCTTCTCCTCCTCCTTCTCCTCCTTCTCCTTCTTCTGCTTCTTCTGCTGCTGCTGCTTCTGCTTCTTCTTTTTCTTCCTCTCCCTCTCCTTCTTCCTTCTCCTTCCTCCTTTCTTCTTCATATGGAGTCTTGCTTGTTGATATGGAGTCTTGCTTTCTTCATATGGAGTCTTGCTCCGTTGCCCAGGCTGGAGTGCAATGACATGATCTCAGCTCACTGCAACCTCCACCTTCTGTGTTCAAGCAGTTCTCCTGCCTCAGCCTCCTGAGTAGCTGGGATTACAGGTGCACGCCACCATTTGTGCCTAATTTTCTTGTATTTTTTAGTAGAGATGGGGTTTCACTATATTGGCCAGTCTGCTCTTAAACTCCTGACCTCAGGTGATCCACCTGCCTCAGCCTCCCGCTCCGAGCCTTTTCCCCTCACTTCTAACTCATCAGCAAGTCCTGTTGATTCTCCCTCCTAAATAAACCTTGAATCTGTCCGTTTCTCCTTCCCTACTGTCACCCTTTGAAGCCACACCACCATCACTTCTTACAGGGAGGGCTGAAATAGCCCCCTAACTGGCCTACCCCTTGCCTACTACAGTCCAGTCTCCAAAGAGGAGCTAGAGTGAGTGTTAAGCATTGCTACTCAGATAATGTCTGATTAAAACATTCTCCAATGATTGATTCCCATTACTCATAGAAAAACTTAGGTTCCTCACTGGTTTCTCAAAGTCATCTTCAATCTGGGTGGGATGTGCCCTCCCATCCATGTGTCTGCCACACTGGACACTCCCTGATGTTTTCAAAAGGAAGGCCAGTGAAAATACTCAGGGCCTTCCACCTGCTGGGGCTCTCTGTATGTCAGCCCTTCTTCATTCCCTGTAAATTTCAGCTTAATCTCTTTAAAGAGCACGTGCCTCACCACCATATTTAAAGTTACAGGTATTCTTTCTTGTATAAAAACAAATCGTGTTTCTTTAGGAAAAGGGGCGAAAAAAGAAAAAGCACTTGTGATTCTCTCTCCTCCAGAGAAAACCACTATTGACATTTTTGATGGATACCTTTTCAACTCCCCAATTTATAAAATAACTTACACTCATGGGAAATGCACATGGCGCAGGCAGGTGTAAAGTACCTGCCAGATTTTTGAAAAGCTGCTGCTTTACTGACTAACCTGCTGGCTTCTTTTCTTCACATACCTTAGTCACATGCTGATGAGAAACTGTTTGCTCATTTGTCCCTCTCTCCCATTAAAATGTAAGTTCTAGGCCGGGTGCGCTGGCTCACACCTGTAATCCCAGCACTTTGGGAGGCTGAGGTGGGTGGATCAGGAGGTCAGGAGATTGAGACCATTCTGGCCAACATGGTGAAACCCTGTCTGTACTAAAAATACAAAAAAAAGTTAGTGGGGCGTGGTGGCATGTTCCTGTAATCCCAGCTACTTGGGAGGCTGAGGCAGGAGATAATTGCTGGAACCAAGGAGTCAGAGGTTGCAGTGAGGTTGCACCACTGTGCCCCAGCCTGGTGACAGGGCAAGACTCCTTCTCAAAAAAAAAAAAAAAAAAAAAGTAAGTTCTGTAGGGATGTGACCTTAGTACTGCTCTCTGTTGCATTTCTGACTCTTATGCTTGGCACCTGTAGGTACTCACTATATTCTTGACTGAATGAGGACCTAAGACAATAAATTACTTTGCGTCTCAGGCCTAAGAGGAGGGATGGACAGGTCTGGGGTTAGTGTGGGCAGGGAGGGGGACTAGGGAGGCCCAGAGAGTTCCCACCCCTCCTTAGTCCCCCTTATATCTCCCCCACTGCCCCTGCCCCAGGAGCCCTGGAGGTCCATGTCCCTGAAGACCCGGTGGTGGCCCTGGTGGGCACCGATGCCACCCTGCGCTGCTCCTTCTCCCCTGAGCCTGGCTTCAGCCTGGCACAGCTCAAGCTCATCTGGCAGCTGACAGACACCAAACAGCTGGTGCACAGCTTCGCCGAGGGCCAGGACCAGGGCAGCGCCTATGCCAACCGCACAGCGCTCTTCCCGGACCTGCTGGTGCAGGGCAACGCATCCCTGAGGCTGCAGCGCGTGCGCGTGGCAGACGAGGGCAGCTTCACCTGCTTCGTGAGCATCCGGGACTTCGGCAGCGCTGCGGTTAGCCTGCAGGTGGCTGGTGAGTGCCGGGAGGGAGACGCCTTCCCCTTGGTTCACCCTCCATTCCCCCTGCAGCCCACCCCCTGCCACATCACTGCCCCCAGAGCCCCAGCCCCAGTGCTGACTCCTGTTCTCAGCCTCATGCATTCTTTTCTTCCTCTGCCATTGCCCTGCTTTTGACCCCACCCTCTGCCATCTCCAGCTCCCTACTCGAAGCCCAGCATGACCCTGGAGCCCAACAAGGACCTGCGGCCTGGGGACACGGTGACCATCACGTGCTCCAGCTACAGGGGCTACCCGGAGGCCGAGGTGTTCTGGCAGGACAGGCGGGGTGCGCCTCTGACCAGCAACGTGACCACGTCGCAGATGGCCAACGAGCAGGGCTTGTTTGACGTGCACAGCGTCCTGCAGGTGGTGCTGGGTGCAAATGGCACCTACAGCTGCCTGGTGCGCAACCCCGTGCTGCAGCAGGACGCGCACGGCTCCGTGACCATCACACCCCAGAGAAGCCCCACAGGTTTCTTTGCTTAAATGTCCCCCTGGGGGTGGGGGGGTTCTGCTTCTATCAGCAGGGGTTGGGAGCTCCAAATCTGGCCCCACCTTCAATCTCCCAGAACAGCAAGTTGCCTTCTAATGACAGGAAGAAAGATCACAGGGAAGTGTGGGTGTCTATTGGATGGGTTGGGGGCTGAGCCATCACAGGCCTTCTTGGCTCTCCTGACTTGAAGCCTCTGGGAAGATTGGAGCCACATCTGGGTCAGCAGCCAGATGACAGAGGAAAGAAGTCCTGGTGGCAGTGCGGGATTCACTAGGGCTGGAGCCTGTGAGAGTTACCTGCCCCAGGCCTGGCCCCTGGGATTGAGCTGGTCCAGCCAAGGTCAACCTGCCGTGATTGTTCTCAGAGGACTGGGGAGACTCCATACCTGGGAGTCCCCAGGCTCAATCTGCTTTTGTGTCTACAAGAAAATAGGAAGATGGAACAGGGTCTGGGGGTTGATGGGGGAAGATGTCGGGGGGACTCGGGTGGTAGCCTGGAGAGTCCCACCTCCTCACCATCTGCCCCTCTGCCTCCACACCCAGGAGCCGTAGAGGTCCAGGTCCCTGAAGACCCGGTGGTGGCCCTGGTGGGCACCGATGCCACCCTGTGCTGCTCCTTCTCCCCTGAGCCTGGCTTCAGCCTGGCACAGCTCAACCTCATCTGGCAGCTGACAGACACCAAACAGCTGGTGCACAGCTTCGCCGAGGGCCGGGATCAGGGCAGTGCCTATGCCAACCGCACAGCGCTCTTCCCGGACCTGCTGGTGCAGGGCAACGCATCTCTGAGGCTGCAGCGCGTGCGTGTGGCAGACGAGGGCAGCTTCACCTGCTTCGTGAGCATCCGGGACTTCGGCAGCGCTGCGGTCAGCCTGCAGGTGGCTGGTGAGTGCCGGGAGGGAGACGCCTTCCCCTTGGTTCACCCTCCATTCCCCCTGCAGCCCACCCCCTGCCACACCACTGCCCCCAGAGCCCCAGCCCCAGTGCTGACTCCTGTTCTCAGCCTCATGCATCCTCTTCCTCCTCTGCCATTGCCCTACTTTTGACCCCGCCCTCTGTCACCTCCAGCTCCCTACTCGAAGCCCAGCATGACCCTGGAGCCCAACAAGGACCTGCGGCCCGGGGACACGGTGACCATCACGTGCTCCAGCTACCGGGGCTACCCTGAGGCCGAGGTGTTCTGGCAGGACGGGCAGGGTGCGCCCCTGACCAGCAACGTGACCACGTCTCAGATGGCCAACGAGCAGGGCTTGTTCGATGTGCACAGCGTCCTGCGGGTGGTGCTGGGTGCAAATGGCACCTACAGCTGCCTGGTGCGCAACCCCGTGCTGCAGCAGGACGCACACGGCTCCGTAACCATCACAGGTAGGGACAGATGGACAGCTGGGGAAGGACGGAGTGAGTAACTGCCTCTTTACTGGACCCTAAGCTGGAATTTTCATAGGTTTGGGTGGCCAGAAGACTTTTTCAAAATCCCTTTCATAGACTTCAGGGGCTCACACTCTTCCTACAAGTCCTTAAGGGACTCGAGCTGATAAGAACCATTTATAATGTTTGCCTTCCTAAGAGTACTTTTCGTGGCACTTAGCCTCTTATGCAGAGGACTTTGTACCTGCCTGGAATTTGGAGGCATGGGCAGGAATTCTGGGGCAGCCACAAGGCATGACCCAGGGGACTTGGTGTGGGTGTGCTCTCCAACAGGAACTCCTCTGGGTGGTGGGAAGGTATTCTGGGTCAGTGGGCACCATCGGATTCCGAAGCCTTGAATGACAGCTGCACCTCCCCAGTGAGTCCCTGACACCTGAGTCAACGTCAGCTTTTCTTCCTGCAGACTTGAGCTCCACCCAGGCAGCAGTTGGATGGGCCGGGGCTGTCTCTGCTGCCCCCATGTGGTCAAACACCAGATAGAGGCCATCCCTTTAGCGATTCTTAGTTTCCAGGTACGAGCCTGGTGGGCACCCGTTGTCCCTGTGGGTCTGAAGAGGGTTGAGGCCAAGAGCCGCCATCTCTGTCTGTGTTTGGCCCCGCGAGGCCTCCAGTCAGTCTTTTCCTGGGCCGATGTGCTCGGTCTGGCTCTTCAGTATCTCTCCCTGGGCCAACTGAGCTTTCCCAGCGACCTCATCCTGGAGCACAGTGAGGTCAGGACAGCAGGTTTTGTCTGTCTGGTTGTCCTCTCATCTTCCGACGACTTCCACCTGACCCCCAGCCCATGCAAGTTCTGATCTCGCACCCAGTTTCCAGGTCTCCACACACCCCGGGACTCGCTGACTTATTCCTGTCCTCTCCCTCTTGCGTCCCATGCAGTCCCCACTTCTCACAAGCTCAGAGCCAGGGCCTGTCGCATCATCTGCTTGGAGCTCAGGCTCACTCCTCCTCCTCTCTTATGTGTTTCCTTCTGCCAAGGTTGTGCTCCCTCTGCCCATCCCTTCCCCAAGACGGAAAACACTTCCTTCCTGGAGAACCCATGGGTCTGTGCTCTCTGGGAGAGTGTAGCTGCCCTGAGCTCTTGAATGTTCTGAGCCATGTCCTTGACCTTTTAGAGAATAGCATATGGTCCGTGAAAATACTGTTCACAGGAGAAAATAAGCAGAATCTTGGCAGAGGATAGGAAGCTTTCAGAGCAGGGAGGGCGATAGTGAGGACACCTCCAGGGGCAAGTGGCAGCTGAAAAGGCCTTGAAGGATAAGGGGACTTTGTGGTCATTTGCACCCTGGGCTGAGCTGGATATTTGCAGTGCTGTGCAGAAAGGACTTATGCGTACAAATGCGATTGCAAAGAGAATGTTTATCTCACCTAAGAGAAAATTCTCTATTTTAAACATGAGTAACTAGCATTTAAAGTGCTTTTTTTAAAAAAATTTAGGGCTGGGCATGGTAGCTTATGCCTGTAATACCACGCTTTGGGAGGCCAAGGCGGATCACTTGAGGTCAGGAGTTTGAGACGAGCCTGGTCAGCATGGCGAAACCCCGCCTCTACTAAAAAATATAAAAATTAGCCGAATGTGGTGGCACGCACATGTAGTCCCAGCTACTCAGGAGGCTGAGGCAGGAGAATCGCTTAAACCGGGGAGGTGGAGGTTGCAGTAAGCCGAGATTGTGCCATTGCGCTCTAGCCTGGGTGACAGAGCAAGACACTGTCTCAAAAACTAACTAAAATAAAATAAATGAAAATGATTTCATTGAGGCCATTGTTGCCAAGCATATTTCACAGGTGAAGAAACTGAGGTCCACAGAGAAGGGGTATCTTTCCCAAGGTCACAGACTGGCACGGTGGTTCTGAATCTTTGGGAGTCAGACCCTTCTTTGAAAATCAGGTAAATGATCGATGCAGCAGATTGCATATATAACTTTGGAGGGTTTACGGCCTCTCTAAACTCCTCCGTGGATCTGTAGACCTGGGCTTCAGCACCCCGCAGTGAGGAGATGAGCCACGATCAGAATCCAACTTTGGCCTCTCAGCCTAATTTCCTCTCCTCCCCACCAGCCAGCCTCCTGTTTGTGTTACAGCAGGTCTGGCCTACTTTGGAGCCCTTGACCTGTATTTTGCTTCAGGCAGCTTTGTGTCATGTAAAATATTCTGGGATTCAGACTTTCAGTCCTCTAGCTGGTCTCCCCCATACCTGATGAAGTTAGTGAAGCTGAGTGTGCTATGCAGAGCCTCTCGGAGGAGGATTTATGGAGCAAGCCCAGGAGACGTGGCCTGAGGCCTAGCTCTGTCCTTTCTTGGGTGAATAGGGCAAATCTAATATGTGTTCCAGGGACAACACCAGCTAAGAGGGAACATAGAAAGAGACCCTCCCCTTGAGTATTTCTGTGGCTCTGCTGCCTGCGCTGCTACCAGAGCCCCATGATGGGATTTCCGGGTTGTTGCTTTTCTCTTTTTAATGTGTGCTCTGTGCACGGGCCCTCCTGGCCACCACATCAGCTGCTGCCCTCCTTTTCTGCATACCTCTCTTCATCACTGGGGTGATGGATCCCTCTGCTTCCAATGGCTGGAGCAGCAGTGTTGCCAACGGTGCCTATTGAGGGTGACGTCTGCAGATCCCTGTGCCAGGTGCTTCTGTGCTGGGGCCTCTGCTGCTGACGGGTTCATGGCACCGCACGCTGCGCTGACAGAGCCTCCTGCAGAAGCTGCTGCGGCCCTGGGCACACACTGTCTCCAGAGAGGAAAGGAAAGCAGCACTGTCTTTGGTTAAGACTTTTCCTCTCTAGACCTCTGCCCAGGACCCAGCTGAGTACAGGGGCTGGGCTGGAAGATGCTGTGCAAGGTGGAGCCACACAGGCCATGCTCAGAACAGCTGCTGGCCCTGCCCAGGTTTGCACTCCTCAGCTTCATCCCTCTTAACAGGAGATCTCTAACAGGAGGGGCCTCAGTGTTTCATGTAAATATTCCCCTTCAAGGCCCCTGCACACCTACCTGACTCCATCGAAAACTCTGAGCCCTGGCTCCAGCCCACTCAGTGACCTCATCTGTCTGTAGGGCTCAGCAAATGTTTTCTGTAAACGGCCAGGGAGTAAATGTTTTTAGGCTTTGCGGACCACACACCACCCCTGTTGCTGCTGCTTCTCCTTCTGTTCCTCCTCCGCCTTCCCCCATCTTTTTTTGGTAACCCTTTACAAATGTAAAAACCATCACTAGTTTGTGGACTGTGCAAAAGCAGGCCGCAAGCCGGCTTTGGACTGTGAGCTGTGGTTTGCTGCCTCCCAATTCATAGGATGGGAGATGTCACCAGGTGGGGCTGGAGCAGTCGGAGAGGGCCTCTGGAGGAGGTGAATACTGAGCTAGGGGAGAGTGTGGGAAATTGATAGCAATAGTACAGAGGCTGCAAGGAGCCTGTTGCTTCTGGAGAGAATGGTTAAGACATCAGTTTGGCTGGAGCTGAGGCTCCTACAGGAGAATTAGAAAGAAAGTTCGGTGGGGGGTAACGGCAGCCAGGTTATAGAGGTCCTTGAATCACTCTGAGAAGCTGGAAGCATTATTCTAAAGTCACTAGGGAGCCATAGAAGGTTCGTGAGCATCATTCAACCACAGACTCTTCAACTCTTCCCAGTTGAGGCATGCCTACATCAGCCAGGATTGTGTCAGGGCTTGGACAGTGTATGGGGAAGGGGCTATGGGAACTTAAGTGAGCTTTATTCACAGTGTTAGGGCCCAATGAGGTTGGGAGCCCCTCTTCACACTTGGAGCCGGATGGTGCTGTCCTCCGGGACATGGGGCCAGACACGACAGTCTCACTGTTCCTACTTTTCCTCCCAGGGCAGCCCATGACATTCCCCCCGGAGGCCCTGTGGGTGACTGTGGGGCTCGCTGTCTGTCTCGTTGCACTGCTGGTGGCCCTGGCTGTTGTGTGCTGGAGAAAGATCAAACAGAGCTGTGAGGAGGAGAATGCAGGTGAGTGTGTGTGTGTGTGTGTGTGGGTGTGTGTGTGTGCGCACTTATGTGTCTTGGGGTATGTTGCTGTGTCTTTGCTGTCAGTAGTTACTTTCCAGTGACAGAATGAGTGTGAATGTGCACATGGGGCTGGATTTGTCTGTGTATGACCTTGAGTCTATGTCTTATGTGTGTGTGAACAAGCATGAGCCTGCCTGTCCATGTGCAAATACCACAGGATGAGTGTGGATGAGTGTGACCAGAAGGTGGTGGGGGGGTAAGGCCGAGTGCTACAAGGGGATGAGTGTGTCTGTGCAAACAAGTGTGCCTGTGAGAGTATAACTCACAAGCGTGTGTGAGAGAGCAGGATGGAACATGGAAGCTGAGCAGCACAAATATGGGCATGCCAGGGGCGTGCATGGCACTGGGGAGGAACGTGCCTGCCTCAGAGCAAGAGCATCTGAAATAGCGGCTGTTTGTGGGGCTGAGGGTCAGTCTGAGCTGGCATTGCTGACTGGTAACTGGGTGAGAGGACATAGGTGGGTGGTGAGTTGACCCTGGTGGGTAAACAAATGCATGAGAGTAGATGGGTAGTCAGAGGCTGGGGATGACTGGGGGTCAGGAAGAGAGGGAAGAAGAGAGTGGGCAGCTGGAGAGAGGTGAGTACTTGTGAGGTGGACAGGTGGAAGGATAGTGGGTGGATAGCTGGCTGGTTACATCTGTTGGAGGTTGATGGTTGGCAGGGCTACTGAGCGAGGGGATGGGTGAGGTGATGGGTAGGTGGGCTGGTGGAGTGTATGGTCTCTGGCTGGGTAAGTAGTGGGCTCCAGGCTGGGTGGATGGTCTCTGGATGGGTGTGGTGGGCTCCAGGCTGGGTGGATGGTCTCTGGATGGGTGTGGTGGGCTCCAGGCTG